AACATGTGAGAAAATGAGTTATTTTATCTGTATAATGGTACCAAAAGATTTTGACTAACATGGTTCCACTAAGGCCAGCTTATACTCCAATACCTGAAGAGTTCCTCCTTGCCAGCATAGAGTTCATTATCAGGGACGAGGTAGGCCCCATCACCAACATACACATGTCCTCGCAAGTTTGTGTAGAAGTCTGGCAGGTAAAACTTGTGTTGTACAGCTGTGGCAGCCCGAACATCTCCAAACCGGGGTCTTAGGTTGTGCTGGTGAAAATATACCAGAATGAACAACTACATTATGTGTAATTTATCTCTGTGTGACAATGGAATTTTACCTGAAGACAACATTAGTACTCACTTAAGATTTGCCTGGTAGAGACTCACCCGAGATTGCCTGGTAGAGACTCACCTGAGATTTGTCTGGTAGATACTTACCTGAGATTTGACTGGTAGAGACTCACATGAGGTTTACCTAGTAGAGACTCACCTGAGGTTTACCTGGTTCAGACTTACCCGAGTTTAACCTGGTTCAGACTCACCCGAGGTTTACCTGGTTCAGGCTCACCTGAGGTTTACCTGGTAAAAAAGGCTCACCTGATGTTTACCTGGTAGAGACTCACCTGAGATTTGCATGGAAGAGACTCACCTGAGGTTTACTTGGTTGACACTCACAAGATTTGTCTGATAAATACTCACCTGAGGTTTACCTGGTAGAGACTCACCTGAGGTTTACCTGGTAAACACTTACCTGTGGTTTGCCTTCACATCTTGTCTGTAGTTTGATCACATCCCTCATCCTCACTCTCCTGTTGCCTGCTTTCACTGTATAAAGTCGCCCAGGATCTGGACTGACCTTGGTTTTCTCTTTGACCTTCAATAATTCTGCTTGATGTGTTCTTGCTTCTTCCACTAATTTTGCAATATCAACAATATCTGCTTTCTCATTGCCTTTGGATTTCTGCTGATTCTCACTTGCACCCTCCTTATTTAATGTAGGACTAGCAGTGGTTTTGGATTTCACTAGATCAGGTTGGTGTACAGACAGACATTTAGGTATAAATCTTGGCATGGGTTTCCTCGAAGCTTGATTTACTGTATTACATGTTTCAGGATTTGTGCCAGTTCCTGACATACTGGTGTCAGACTTTTTGTAAGGTGTCAGGAAGGATGACTTGACAGGGGGCTGAGATTTGCTCCCATTTGTTGATGATTGAAGCAGGACAGATAACCTGTAAATACAAACTATTTAATAAAAGATCTTCAAACTAATTTCCATTTCAGGCGAGATAAGAATAATTAGAGAAGTTTCCGTTTAAGCGAGCTCTGCTAAGATTAAAAATAAAATTTCAAAACACTGTGTTTTATAAATCTCATATACAGATTCAAATTTAAGATCTTTTGTACAATATTTCAAAGAATGAGTATTTGCAAAGAGAAAAAAATGTCTTCTCTGACCGTCATCAAATTTTCAATGTTGCCATTGTAATTTTTATATATGGAATACATGTATCTATAATGCCACTTCACAATGTCATGGTATCTATTGGTCATATTCTGAAGTCACAATGGATGTTAACACATCAGGTAATATATCATAAACATTGAAATAAAACTGGTCACCTGATCTACAATACTGATTATGATGTAAATACTGACACAGGGAAGCAGATCTGACTGTTATATAGACTTATAGGAACCAACGTTGTGAAAATAAGATTCTCCACTCTATTAAATGAGGTTCCTTGTAATATGTAAAGTATGTTATGACCCTGACCTGGGAACAGACTCCTGGGTCGGAGTGGATTTACTGTAGCAAGCACGCAGGGAACAGCTTGTACCTTGTCGGTCTTTAGTGAAAGCTGCAAAAGAATTAAGACATGTCTAGATAAAATCACACAAACACAGATGTATACAATTAAACTTTTATTTGCACTCGACATCTTTTCATTGTGTTATCTCCCTAGAAAATTTCAAATATTGATCTTACCTAATAATGCAATCTTTCGAATGTGATGTATATTGATTAAGTTCTATCCTTTGTTCACTGAAATATTGGTGTATATACAATGTACAGTGTAACTTTGATGTTTCAAACTTCATGGGACATCTTCAAAATATTTGAATCATTGAGACTTCGACCGACGAATGTTGAACATCAAACACCATGTCTTATTGTAGTGATTTTGACAACGGCAATCGAAAGTATGTTTCAAACAACATAAACCAGAGTCGTACATACAATTTTCTTTGACATACATTTTGTATGCCTATGTTAACGTCTCAATGTAATGTACAGATCATTTTTTTAGTTCTATCTATAAGTTGTAATTTTCAATGTTTTGATCACGAACAGACCTTGATTATATTTCGAAACAGCGAAAAAATCAGACTTATAAAAGTTTGACTCAGGAATAGAATGTTAATTAGTAGTGTTGTAAAAGGGAAAAGATCCAGACTTTGCTATGAGCTCGACACATTGAGAAATTCAAATCTTCTTAGTTTGATTTATGGAAGTTAGACTGTACCACATATCTTACCCTCTGGTACACTTTTCATTGGTTTCACCATGCCTGATCTGGTGCTGACTGCTTTTTCTGAAATTTTAAATTAAGAAATTTAATTCATATTTCACAAATGTATTTAACTGAATTTGAATTTTCTCATAATGATTTTTTTTAGCACCTTATTTTGGATACAGTATACCATGTATTGTAAAGGCAAATGTATCCGAAATTTTCAGATCAGAGCAATATGAAAGATTTGCGACAATATGACAGGGTATAGCTGCGATTCACAGGGTAGGAAGAAACATAGGTCCTGGAGTGCTACACACAAAACACCTTTATGATGATTCATTGAGAAAAGGACACAAAATGTTCTAATACATGTTCCAATTTTATTCACCTGTGATACTTGTGTGTGAAGGAAACCTTAATAATATTGATCCTTTAGGAGGCACAGGTACAGGCTACATTTTAGAATCTGAATACCAGTCAAAAATTTGTAGAACCATTTCTAACTTCAAACAGAAATAACATTCTAGATTATTTTCTGTTAAAATCGAGGACATACCTGGATATTGTTTGGTTGAGATACAATACTTAGGTTAGTACTCAGTGTTGTCCAAATTCACTTCACAATTTTGAACTAAAGTTTCAATGTCATTTAATCAATTAATAATCACAATGTATCATATACACTAGCATTTGTTGATCCAAAGGTTTAAGATATGAACACCATGTCATAATTGTACCGTCTCTTAACATAAACATGTAGCCTGTGGGGGAACAAGGGGAGCAGGCTTTTTAGATATCTTCTTGACAACTGATTGACCTTTTCTGGTACTGTCATGCTTAAATTTCTACAGCTTTTGAGGCTACATCCAGGGCTTCATCCTCGAGACCCCAGTTTCACCCCCCTCCACCTTCCCTAAAATCAGTTGGGCCAGCTTACAGCCTAGTCCGAATTATTCTGACGTTTTATCGACTTTTTTCATA